AGTAAGACCTCAAAGCACTAAATATCAAACAGAACAAAATAATAACAATAATAAATTGAGCAAGCGAACAAAGTCGCCATACCTTAGCTTCGTGAGTCTGGCCTTGCGCTTGTTAACAAGGGGCTTCTTCACATCATCGGCAGGATAAAACTTCGGCGGCTTCTCGACTGCGGCATCAGCTTTTGGCTGGGCATCATGACGAGGGAACACTCCGCCGTTTTTGGCCTTGATGGCCCAAAGACCTCGCTTGTGATACATCTTAGACCTCGAGTACTTACCGACGCCTCGGATTAGATCCGGGTTTCTGGTAACTCTAGGGGTTTTGGGCGCCATTACCGTCTCCCTGCGAGAATCTGCTGCTCTTCTTCGACGAGAAAGAAACTACCACCAGAAAGCCTAATCATCCAACAAAGAGAACATTATATTAGGGTTTCTTTTTTTCTCGGAAAAGCCCTAATCCGAAGCTCTTGATAATTTGGGCTTGGGCCCAAGCCCTAATTCGAAGCTCTTGTAGTTTGGGCTTGAGCCCAAGCCCTAATTCGAAGCTCTTGATCATTTGGGCTTGGGCCCAAGCCCAAATGACAACAATCAATGGTTTATTTTTAACAACCAAAAAACTGAGCATATAGTTATATTTATCTTAAAAAAAAAAAAAAAACTGAATGGCACGTGCGGTAAGCACGTGTGTGAGCCTTCATGCTGACTGGATAAACCGCTGGGCTCGCTCGCCTCAGGGTTCTGTTCTTGTCGCTTCGGAACACAAAGCTTTACAGACCAAAAATGGCTTCCATCTCTGCCGTGTTATCGCCAACGAATCTCATCCACAGTTCCACAAAACCCGCCGAAATCCTTCTCAAATCAGTCTCATTTCACCGCCGTCGTACCCATACCCTCCTCCGCCTATCTCCCGGTCGCCCCACGAGACTCTTCGCGGCGCTTACTGCTCAGGATTCCAGTTCAGTGGCGGAAAGGAAATTGTACGTTGGAAATATACCTAGAAATGTGGATAATGAGGAGCTCAAGCGGATTGTTGAACAACATGGGGCTGTGGAGAAGGCTGAGGTGCGTAATTTATGATTGAATTTTAATTTTTTTTTTTTTTTTTTTTTCTTCTATTGTACATTTTGAAATTCGTTGCGTACCCTGCGCGTCGAGATGTTGATGTTGAGGTTTGCTTGCTGGATTCTATTATTGAGGAATTATATCTATCTGCTTGATTAGTTTGTCTTCAACGAATCTTCGCATTAATTGAATTGAGTTAATTGTTCATAAGTTAAGTTCATCAAAACTTCTTCCTGAATGTACCCTGATTTTGGCATGAATTTAATCGAGTTAATTGTTTATAAGTTGAGTTCATCAAAACATCTGCCTGAACGTACCCTGATTTTGGGCCAAATTTGTCCACCATATACTTTCAAATGGAGTTTACTTGCAGAGTGTTATCCAATCCACGAAGGAATTAAAGATGGAAAATGTTCATAGGAGAGGGAAGGAAGAGTTCATAGGAAGGGAAAGGATAGTCACGCTCTGTTAGTTACAATAAGCTGCAGCCACTTATCAAAGGGAAGAAGGATGTACAGGACGATTTTAGGGGAAAGGAGAATCAAATCCTGTGAAATGCTCGCCACTGGCTCATAGAAATTCCATAGGACTTCAAAATTTAATTCTTGCTGCTTTCCGGTTCATCGCTTCAGTGTCGTTGCGTTTGTATGAGTATCTAAGATGAGTACCAAACAGTTCCTGAAATGAAGTAGCTAATGGCATGTCTTTAATGATGTATTTCTTGCAATCAATTTACTTGAAGAATTCTAGCATCTTCTTGTTCTTAATCTTTACTTGCTAACTGTTGGTATTGGCTTTAAAACTCCAATTTTGTTCCATTTCCAGGTCATGTATGACAAATACTCTGGAAGAAGCCGCAGGTTTGCCTTTGTTACCATGAAAACGGTTGACGACGCAAATGCAGCAATTGAGAAACTGAACGAGACAGTAAGCTAAATACCTATCAAGTGCAACAAAAATCGAAAAAGAACAAGAACAAAACAATTGTTTCTTACTGCTCACTAGAATCTAGATAGATGAATTGTGCTGATTCTATCGGTCTAATGACAGGACGTTGGGGGACGTACAATTAAAGTCAATATAACCGAAAAACCTGTGGTAAATACGGTTGATATGTCACTTCTTGAGGCAGAGGAATCCCAATTCATCGATAGTCCCCACAAAGTATATGTAGGAAACATTTCGAGTACTGTCTCTACTGAAACACTCAAAAACTTCTTCTCTGAGAAGGGTAAAGTTCTCAGTGCAAAGGTTTCACGGGTTCCCGGTACATCGAAAGCAAGTGGCTACGGTTTTGTTACCTTTTCTTCCGAGGAGGAAGTCGAAGCTGCCATTTCATCTTTTAACAATGCTGTAAGTAACTCGCTTCCATTCTCTATCATGTCAAACGTTGTAACATCAATACTGATTTATGCAAACTCTATCTCACTTTCTGGTCGGGTTTCATGCATTGGCAACATTTTTGCTCACATTGTCTAGTAGAGCATTCTTGTTTCATTTTCTGTTTCCCTAAACAATTACATATAGAGTAGCATTCTGATCACCCACTTGTAAGAAGCATTTCTAAACCTAGTCGATTGGTATGCCAACTCGAACAACTTACATTGATCATCGATATTACTAATAGTTGGACAAGCTATGTTCATCAAAGATGATGGCATACTTCCCTGAAAACTCTCATGCACATTTCTCGTTTCCGAACGGGTGGAAGAAGCTTGTGTCTGATATGTGTTTTCCTTTGCTGCAGTTGTTGGAAGGTCAACCAATTCGTGTAAACAAGGCATAATTTTGTAGGATTCTTTGTAACAAAAGGTATGCAAATTTCGCTTTTTACCTCTTGGCATGAATTAATGAACAGCAGAGGTCAGATTTTTCTCTCAATTTCTCTGTATTGATCATTAATGTATAATCTTGTTTATTTTTCTGTTTAAGATTTGACTATTTGCAAATCTTTACTTGTTCCTCAAATTCCACGTTTGACTATTCAACTATTTGCAGTCCTCGTGCACTATAAATACATCATCTTTTCAAAGGAATTACTCATTTCTCAAATTCTCAGTTCCTCTCAAAACCCAGAAAACAATGATGCTCTCTCTTCTCTCAGCTTTCATAGATTGCTTCCTTCCTTCTCTCTCCCCAAAGGCTTCCCATGGCGGAAGAACATGTAAACCCCAAACTCAAACAACAGCCTCCAAACTGACACCTGAAGCTGATTCGCAGCTCCCTCAAGCTCCTATAATCGTGTCTCATTTCCCAGTTTCTGCAAACTTATCTTGCTTGTGATTTCCTTGATGAACTCTGGTCTTCAATGGACTCCTCTTGGATCGAATCTGAAAAAGATGAAGTTTTGTCTTTGATCATGTTGTCTCTCGAGTTCAGTCATGGGTGTTTGTAGAACTAGTTTCTTTCTTGTTCCAGCTCTGGTTTTGATTCTTTTTTTCCTTTCTGGAGATTAATATACAACGTTTTTCTTGTGATTTCTTGGTTTCTTCGATGGGTATTGACTTTTTTATCTCATGTTTGTAATGGGTCTTGATTAAAATGTTAAAATACTCCAAATAGCCTTTTATATTTACTACTTTTTTAAGATGGGTCTTTTAGTAGCATAAGGTCAAAGACACTTGAAATAATTGCTCTCAAGTCTATAATTTTCAAACAAAATGTTAAAAATATTGATATAAGATTAAATTTATCAGCTCACTTTTTTGAGCCAATCGATGATTTAATATAATATTATAGTAAGAGGTCATATGTCTAAACTCCTATAATGCCATTCATTTCGATTTCATTGACCGGTTGAAATGAAGAATATATATATATATATATAATTTAAGCCTACTGTTAGTAGATATTGTTCAGAGCCCTTAAGAGGGTGGATACGATGATATTATTAGAGTTAGACACCGGACGGTGTACCAATGAGGACATTGAGCCCCAGAAGGAGGTAGACATCGGATAATGTGATAGTGAGAACATTGGGTCCCGAAGGGGTGGACACCGGGTGGTGTGTCAGTCAAGACACTGGCCCACGAAGGGGGTGGGATTGTGAGATCCCATATTGGTTGGAGAAGGGAACGAAACATTGTTTATAAGGGTGTGGAAATCTCTCCCTAGTAAACAATGTGACTTTTTTTTTAAGAAGTTTATAAATGACTCTAATTTTTTTTTAGGTAATACTCAATTTCGTGCTCAATTGTTTAAAATTCTCGGTATTTATATTAAATTAAATTAAAAAGTATAAATTAAAGGCATCCATAAAAAAAAATGTCAAAATTTATTAACAAGAAGTTGTATCAACTTTTAATATAAACATTTAATGAGCTTTTTGTTTTTTTTTTTTAATAAACAAAAGGAAAAAAAAAAGTCAAATTAATCAATAGAAAAATAATATTAGATGATGACATGTAATAATGAAAATGAGGGGAAAAAGTAGTAATAATTTGACCTCGGAAGCCGCCACGGCCACTCGTGCTTGGGAACCACGGGGTGCTTGGGAGCCACGGCATCTTCCGTGTCGACAAAGCAAATGAATCAACTGCCATCTGTTCTTCCTTCTTACACTATATAATTCAACATGAATAACTACGAACAACAACAACATCCATTCAAATGGGTTTCTTCTCTCAAATCTCCGGCTGCTGCTTCTCCTCCCGAGTCTCCGCCGACGGAAAGGAAATTCCGGCGAAGAATCAAAAACCCAAGAAGAAACAGACGGCGGAGCCTAAGGGAGCTCCGATTGTAGTGTCTTATTTTCCTGTTAGCTCCAATCCTTCTCGCTTGTAATGAAGACACAGTCTTAGTTGTCGTTGATGATAGGATTATGAATGAATTTATGTAATATTAAGGTCGAAGCGTTTGTACATATATATTATATGCATATAGAATGATGACACGATTCTTAATGCCATGATGTAATCATTATATGCATATTACGCTTCGAGTGAATGTATCCATGGAATTGATATCAAAATAAATAATGGGTTGAAGAGACCAAAGAAATTAAGGACCAAATCGCCTTGAAAATTCTCGCGACGTTCGTGCGTTCGTAGTTTGGCCCGGTTTCGATCCTCTTCCATCATCAAAAGGGCAGGGCATGTATGTTAGACCACAATAATGAATGAATGAAGCAAAACTATATCTGTGCGATTAGAAGTTCATTCCATGTGTCCGGTACGCCAGGCATGCACCAATGCAAGCAATCACTGGTGTTTAGGATAGCTCTACGAGTGTAGCGCGACACGTGGGCTTCGTCTCGTAACTGAGAGATGGCAGTTATATCCAGGATCTTTACCTTGGTACCATTAACAGCATTTTGAACAACAATGTCAGTAGATCCATCTTGAACGACCTCGCTCCCGCCCGACAATGGTATCTTATTATCACAAGATCCCCCGGTGTTCCAATCGCCATTGAAGAAATGCCTCGGCGAAATCGTCCTAAAGAAAACTTTTAGATTACGAGGATGCAGCGGAAGTTGCGATTCGACCCATCGGACAATACTGTACACAGTCAAGTTCTTGGCATTCCCCATATCCAAAGGCTTCTTTTCTTCTGCTGGTTTTCCATCAGCATACATCACCCACCTATTTCCTTCAAGTTTTCCCCTGTTCCAATGGTGTCCTGTATTTAAAACCAACACATCAAACTGTTGGAAGAACTTTCTCATGAATGCTGGGGGTCGGTCCAAATGCATTGCGATATTCGTTGCTCGATCCGATCTATTAAGAGGTTCTAGATCAGAGAGGCTTGCTGACCAGTAATATAGAATCGTAGTGTTCGTGTTTCGAAACCGATAAACCCATCCATCTGGTCGAAGAGCCCCGGGAGCTTTGGCGAGACCGTATTCTCTTCCCACATCTTCGACTTCCGGGTTTTCTTCACCACCAGTGAGCATACACATTAAGGATTGAAACTGCTGCCTACCCAATGAATCTCCTATAAATGCTATCGTTTTGTCCTGCATTCTAGAACACAAAATGACATTCAAATCGACGAAACCAATTTAGCAGGAGCTCATGGAGGGACATCAAATCGACGAAATACGCTCATGGGATCGTAAAGTCGAATGCATAGCTATCCTAATGAAGCAAGTAGCAACACACGTGGGGTTAGAATCTCGATACCTTTTCAAGAATGAAGAACGCTCAAACTCTGGCATGTAGCAATTTTCGGGTTGCCACCTATATCCTTCATAAGAAAAGTCCTTTCTTTTTGTAAGTCTACAAGCCCACATTATTGATAGCCATTTTTTACATTGTAATCCAGAATACCATGGCCGCCTGCTGTCTTCAACCCATCTACCTTTGGCGTAGTTGCACACTGAATGAGCAATAATATCTTAGAAACGACATGAACAACATAATCGATGCATGAATCGAGAAAATGTGGTCGATGGCATGTTCTCAACAAAAGCTGATTCTGCTTAGAGGTAAAACTAAGAACAATAAACAAATCTGTGCCTACCATCTCAAAACTGAAGTTAAACAAGGCCACGCCTCGGAGAAAGAACAAATATCATAGCATTGTGGAAATCTGTGCCAATAATCTGAGAATCTAAATGATACCTTTTGCCGAAGAAGACGAGGTAACGCCATCTTCGCGTTCTTTCAATGGAGGAGTGGGCTTGGAGACAGAACCAGCATCTGAGTAGTTCGTGCTTTTTCCTGGCTGTTCTTTTTTTGGGATAAGAAGTCCTGGCTGCTCTTTTTCATCAGTATTGTTACTTCTTTCCTTCATTTTATCCTCTAACTTAGCTATCTCATCCTCTGACTTAGCCATTTCGTCTTTCGACTTAGTCGATATTGAGGAACTATTTGACACGTCCACTACATATTCTAAGTCATGATAGAAAAAATTAATCCATGAGTTACCAGCACACAATACAAATTACAGAATTCGACGATCAAACATGACAGAAAACGTAAATCAAGTTTAAACAGTCGTTTTTCTCAGAGGAGTTAGAAAAACATGCTTGTTTCAGTGGCAGAGCATGCACTAGCTGATTAGTATACTGATCTTTAGAACGTGAAGAAACCATCACAACCACTCCATGTTTCACTTCTCAATCAAACAATTCAAATTTTACATTCCAAAAACAACAGTAAAAATGGAAATGAAAATTAGAATTCAAGTCAGGTTGCCATTGAAAGTGTTAGAAATCACGACTCTCCACAGTGATATTGATATTATCTACTTTGAAGATAAACTCTCATGACTTTGCTTTTGGTTTCCCCAAAATGCCTCATACCAATGGAGATGTAATCCTTACTTATAAACCCAGGATTGTTCTCTTAATTAGCCAATGTGGGACTCTCTCCCAACAATCCTCTCCTTGAACAAGGTACACCATAGAGCCTCCCCGAAGGTCTATGGAGCCCTCGAACAGTCTCTCCTTAATTGAGGCTCGAGTCTTTTCCCTGGAGCCTTCGAACAAAATACACCCTTAATTCGCCAATGTGGGACTCTCTCCCAACAATCCTCAACAGAAACAAGACTTAGAGATCTACCATTTTTATCCCACCGAAGTTTTGCATATTCATCTCATTCTTAACATAGATTAAATAGACACATCTTAAACAGTAGAAAGAAGCATCTTAAATACCTGAAACTGGTATCATAAACTGCTCTCTTGTTACTGGAAGAAAACTGGCAAAATAGCTTTTATCCCAAGCCCATAACAACATGGTTGCAAGCATAAGAACAACCAAGACAATGGAAAGATGTCCCCCCCTTAGCTTAATGATGTTTCCACCTTTCATCTCTTGGCTTCTATGACATGTATCCCCTCATGTTAAACTGGGTGCATTCCTTCAGCACATCTGTGTCGGTACAAGAAAAAATTACAAACAAATCAGAAACAACAAAACGAAACTCGGAGCAAAATTTCCCCAAACAACATTATTGAAGAAAATGAACCATCGATCGGCACTAATTCGTTTGCAACGCCATTAAAATAGCTAACAGATACATGGGCTTCTCAAACAAACATAGATTTTGGTAATTAGAAGCTAAAACCATCAGCAATGCTAAAGCTAAATCGATCAAACAGAGCTAAAACAAACACAGATACCACAATCAATCACAATCCAAAAGTAATTTCGTTCAACTAATCCACCGATCGAGACGACCCATTAGAGTTTCTTAGAAAATAAGAAGAGGGTAAGGAAGCAAAAGCTAAAACAATGGAGATTCCAGTAAAGAATCTGAATGAAACAAGAAAAATCACGCACCCATATGTGGGAAAGGATGAGATTCAGAAACTGGCGCGGCTTCTCATGAGAAAATCGTAGTCATATTCGATTTGCAGAGATAGTTACAGAGCACTCCTCTCATAATCATCAGATCCAAACTGAAGTTCAGAGAAGACGCTGAGACGGAAGAGAGGTGTCAGCACGAAAGATAGAAAGGCAAAGACTTATAAATGACTAAAATGCCCCTAATTCCCACGTGTTGGGTTGTGATTGATTGTACCCAACGATCTATGAGGTGGATTTAAAAATAATTATTTTGAGAAAATATTGTGTTCGGAAATTCTAATAATTAAATATCAATAAAATAAGAATAAATTACAAAATTTAATGCTGAAAAAATTTATTTTCTTTTCCAATTTTAGAAACTAGAAGGAATTTAACAAATTTCTCAGACTATAAAGATGAAATTTTTAAATATTAAAGCATCTCTAAAGGCCATTCCTTCCCTTTTGCCTTCATCTTCCTCACGGTCCACCTATTACGGCGGCGAGCCGCCTCTTGTTTATCCCTTATTCTTTTGTTTCCGACCGACATCGCCCATGGCTGGTGTTTATGAACTTCAATCGCTTATTTATCCCTTTTTGTGGACTTTCTCTTAAGATTTTAAAACGTGTATGCTAGGTAGAGGTTTTCATACTCTTATAAAGAATGTTTCGTTCCCCTCTCCAACTGACGTAGGATCTCACATCTATTTTCTTAACCGTGTTTAGCTAAGCTACCTGGTTAATGAGCATCTGATTCTTTATCAAGGGGTCATGTCAAATCTTGCTTGGATGTGTTACAATTATGCAGGTTTTTGCAGAACCTGATGCTCATTAACCAGGTAGCTTAGCTAAACACGGTTAAGAAAATAGATGTGAAATCCTACGTCAGTTGGAGAGGGGAACGAAACATTATTTATAAGAGTATGAAAACCTCTACCTAGCATACACGTTTTAAAATCTTAAGAGAAAGTCCACAAAAAGGAATAAATAAGCGATTGAAGTTCATAAACACCCGCCATAACGAAACATTCTTTATAAGGACCTTTCAGATGAAATCGAAACATTCTTTATAAGGACCTTTCAGATGAAATCAAAGCAACAGAATTGGTTTCACCCACTTTAATCATGATTGGAAAAGTGGCATCTCTCTCACCACATTGGTCTCTTTCTTCCAAAGCTGGCTTAAAAGAACTAAAGAGCCCATGAATATGGTTTGAACTACTTCAACTCGATTCATAAACACTTCTACATTCAACATTCTAAACCTTTTTTATTGAGAAATATCACACAAACTGCAAAAGGAAAGAGATTCCCGACACAAATGAAACACAAACGTTTCTCATGACACCCACTCCACTCCCCTCCCCTCCTTATTCATTAGTGGTTCCATTGGGGAAGAAGCTACAGCAAGTGGGAGAGATTCTACTGCAAAGCTCAATGAAGAAGGAACCTCTTCAACCAGTAAGCAGAATACTTGAGGTACCTTCCCAATTTGTGCCTGAAATCGACGTAGATGAGGCCGAACCGCACCGTGTAGCCTGCGTCCCATTCAAAGTCATCCATAATAGTCCAGGCGTAGTATCCCTTCACATTCACTCCTTCCCTGTCATTTCAAAAGCACAACCATTAGAAAAGTTCTGATTTCATCTGTTCATAACAATGGAGTTTGATGTTTATGAGATCATTCATACTTAATAGCATGGAGAACGGATTCAAGATGGGCATGGTGGTATTTGATCCTTGTTCCATCTTTCAGAGCTTCCTTAATTGGCAGTGTAATATTGTCTGAATAAGCCATACCTATACACCACAGCAAGCCAATAGTTCAGGGCTTGTTTGGTATCCAAAATGAGATTCAACTATTTTTATTGTCAGATTAACAAACACATTTCCAATCATTTCTATATCTGTTTCCAAATACATTCATAAACACTTGAAATATGAAATACAAACTTTTTATTCAATCTTTTGTCTTCAAATTTCATCTTGTTAAACGAACACGACTCTCCACAATGGTATGATATTGTCCACTTTGAGCATAAGCTCTTATGGCTTTGCTTTGGGCTTCCCCAAAAGACCTCATACCAATGAAGAGAGTATTCTTTGATTATAAACCCAGGGTCATTCCCTAAATTAGCCGATGTGGGACTTTCATCATCCAACACCTCCCCTCGAACAAAGTACGCCTCCCCTTAATCGAGGCTCGACTCCTTTGAAGTCTTAGTCATTTTTTACTGCCTTCGAGGATGCTTGACTCCTTTTCTTTTGGAGTCCTCCGTTCGATATTTGAGGATTTACCAATCTATTGGCACGACTAAGTTTAGGGCATGGCTCTGATACCATGTTAAATGAACACGACTCTCCACAATGGTATGATATTGTCTACTTTGAGCATAAGCTCTCATGGCTTTGCTTTGGGCTTCCCCAAAAGGCCTCATACCTTGATTATAAACCCATGATCATTCCCTAAATTAGCCGACGTGGGACTTTCATCATCCAACACATCTTTCATATGACTAACTAAATGCAGGGTTGTATAGCCATTGATTGGAGAGAAAGAAAGGTACCATTCTCGGTGATGTAAATAACTGGATCTTTGTATTCTTCTTTAATGTATTTCAAAAGTAGATGAATGCCTTCTGGGTAGATGTAAAGCCAGTTCAAACTAGTCTGCAGAAGCAAAAGAATCCATTAACAGTTCATTAACAAATGGCTCAGCTGCTAATTAAAGTAAAGATAGAGAGAGAGTTCCAACCGCAGGCCCAATTAGAACACCATCATTATCCGCTGTAGCAGAAGAAAAAAATTATGTTAAAAGGATAAAGAAAAGCTTTGATTCAAATGAAAAATCACATAAACTTCAAAAACTGTATTAATTTTCACTCTAAACTTTGGAACAAGAAAGAACTCACTCATTTCAAGCCAAATTGACCATTTAACAGAATTCTTAGAATTCACAAATTTCAAACAAAATTCAACTCTGGTCCAGTATCATATCTTCATAAATTCCTAACATAGAAATCGCATAGCTTATTCAAGTTTAATTATCTCGTCAAAGAAAAGAAAGAAGACATACTAGAGAGGGAAATGTGCATATCAGAACTGTAGCTTATGTTAGGCGAATTCGAGAAAGGTATATCGTCAACGAAATTTCCAGTGTAGTAATTCATTCCAAGAAAATCCATTGATCCTTTAATGCTTTGTGACTCTGCCACGGAGAATTTCGGCAGCCTATTTCCGACGTACTGGTGCATCGATTTCGGGTAGTCGCCATAAGTAATCGGATGCAGAAACCTAAAATTCATTTCGATTCAGTTCAATTTTCACCAACATTTCTCAACTAAGGATTAAGATAGAGACACTCACCATCCCAAGAAGAAATCAAGAGCACGATACACCGCCGCTTGGGAAGCTGCCGTGTTGCGTTTGGCCCTAAACCAGTGAGTCACCAACGTAATTCCAATCTGCCCCTTCTGCTTTGCCTGTAGCTCTCAAGTGAATTCGAATCAGCAAAATCAGAGTCCAAAACAAGATTCTGATTATGTTAAGAAGAGATTAATTTAGGGATTTGTTCTTGAATCCTAACCTGGTACTTTGTCCTGTAGACTTTGACAGCAGCGGCGTGGGAGAGGAGGAGATTGTGGGCGACGATGTAGGGCTCGGTGCCGGAGTTGCCGGCGGTGCAATTTCCGACGTAGTTGGAGCATCTTCCAGGAGCGAAAGTGCCGCCGTTGTACCCAAAAACGGTAAACGAATATGGTTCGTTAAGGGTTGTCCAATACTTGACCCGATCGCCAAATAATTTGAAGCATAAGTCCGCGTATTCCCGAAAATCATTCCTGTTTAATCACCAAAATTACATTAATTAATTTTTATTAGTTACTAATTATAAAATTACTCTCTTCGTCTTCAAAAAAAATATATATATATATATATATTATAATTTTAAATGTTAGAATTATTCATTCAATATTTTTAAATTAATTATAAATTTTTAATTTTATGTCTAATAAAATTAATTAATCTCTTACACAACTTTGGCGCTTCGAAATCCATCGTACTCATCTTCGAGAGCTTGAGGAAGATCCCAGTGAAAAAGAGTGACATATGGTATTATTCCTGGATTTATTTATTTGTGAGCGTGATTCAATAATTCAATAAATAAACGAAAATTAATATTTAGCGGTGATTTAATGTTATATTTATAATTGATTTATTATTATTATTATTTGAAGAAATTTCACAAAATAAGGCATTAATTTTTTTACCATTGGCTAGGAGCTCATTGATGACATTATTGTAGAATTTGACGCCAAGTGGATTCACTCCTCCACGAAGGTTTCCCTCTGTCATTTTTTTTAGAAGGAAAAATAAAACGGTAAAAAAAACAAAAATTTACCCATGGAAATGGAAAGGTAAAAAAAAACTTACTGGGCAGGATCCTTGACCAAGAGATGGAGAATCTGAAAGAGTCCAACCCAATCTTTTTCATCAATTGTATATCCTCCTGAAAATATATATATATACATATCATTAATTAATATGATAATAAAATATGTCTAATAAATTTCTAAATTTTTAAAATATCAAAATTTACCTTATAACGATGGTAGAAATCAGTAGCCATTTCTCCATTTTTATGGTCCCATATTTTTTCTGATCATATAATTTAATAATCCATCAACCATAGACACACCATATTATAAATAATTAATATCATTATTATTACAATGTTTTCAATTTACTAAAATAAAAATGAATTCACAATTGGTCAAATAAGCACAGATAGTTTTTATACTTTCAAAAATAAAATGATAGAAAAAAACTAAATTAATAAAAATTAAGTTAAAATCTCTTAATTTTAAGGTTTAATAATATACTTACTAACAAAACAAATGTTAAAAATACACTTATACCCTTCATTAAAAAAAATAATAATGTTAAAATACAGCGTTTAGAAAACACCCATGAAGTTTTAAAAGTTGCATCTGTTGGATGATGGAAGTCCCACCTCGACTAATTTAGGGTGTGATCATGAGTTTATAAGTGAGGAATACTAACTCCATTGGTATGAGACCTTTTGGGAAGTCCAAAGCAAAGCCATGAGAACTTATGCTCAAAGTGGAAAATGTCATACCATTGTGGAGAGTCATGTTCGTCTAACATGA